ATTGTCGAATCATACAAAACGTAGTGTGGAGTAGCTACTCTTTCGATGTCTTGCAAAGTATCTCTGAAAAACGGCTCAAGCAGTCTCTTCACTGTTTGTGGTGATTCTTCCGCTCTAGACAAAAGGATATCGTATTTTAATCTCTTGTCTTCATATCAACTGGTTCGAAATTTTTGATTTTGTCGTCACCAAATAAAAAATACACCATTCGAAAGAGCGTGAAAAACTGAGTACGGTGGTCTGATTTTTACGGAGACGTACTCCCAAGTCCCCAGCAGAAATTTTTAAAAAACATTTCGCAGCCAAAACAGCTAGATCATTCTCTCTATCGTTCTTTCTGAGTGATATATCTTTTTCGTTCTGTATTTTCATTTATGAACAAAAGCGCAAAGTTGGAATAAAGTAATAGAGCAACAAGACTACTATCCATTTCAATGAACAATGGAATCGGTTGTAAGTTGAATAACTCTGGATAGGAAGCAGAGACCTGCGGTTTCAACATTCGAAAGAGAATAATATTCTTCATTAAGAAATATCGAAAGCTGAATGGTCAACAATTGACCAATCAGGTGAGTTTTCACTTGACATATTGGGCACTGCCTTGAGAAGAGATTCCGCATTGGATTTGAAATTCTAATACAACCATTCGATAGAGAAAATTGTTCTCTATTGATGTACAGAAGGCCCAGCTTTTTAGCTTGTGCTGTTCAGGAAATATCAGTAGTTTCCTGAGAGCTCCGATTTCGGCCAGCTGACCTGGGATCACTCCAAAAAACCTCGAAATATAGGTAATCGATCATGCTGAGTCGAGTGGTAATGTTTATTTTCAGTTCTGAAGTGCATTAATTCGCTAGATTAAACTTTTTTGAAATATCGACTGAATACGATAGCGCGACATAACGTCCGAATATAAAAATTTCAGAAATATTTAATTTAATGATTTCAATCGCTTTGAAACTGAAAATAAATATAGCCAAATCTTTTTTCAGATTTGTTATGACTATTATCTTCGAGGAAAAAAACTGAAAATACACGTGGTTCAATAGCTTTGAGAGCGACAGTAAATAAAAAGCTGACAGCCATATACTATTTAGAATATAATTGCTTGACGGTATACTATCTAAAAAATCGAATTTCAATTTGAAGCTCGTTAAACTCTGCATTTTTTTATGGCATAACCATTATGAGTCTGATTTTGTATACAGCACTATACTTCACTAACGCTTCCACAACAGGTCAACACCACTGTATCCGTTCACTATCTTGCCCATAAGTCTAGAAAACCTATAATTCGAAAGAATGTGTTATAGTTCATTCGATAATCCTCTCAATTCTTTAACTTTCCATACATAAACTATGCCTAATCTCTGTCGGTAGAAGAAACTATAACCATTTTTATGTGCCACTATAGGAAAAAATCGAGATACCTGTCAAGTATTTGTCCAATACATCTATAAAGGCAAAGTTTTGAAACAATGTGTTATAGCTCATTGTGTAGTCCTTTCAATTCTACATTTTCCTATGTATAAATCATTCCGGTCTGAGTGTGGTGACAAAAGTAGAATCATTTTTGTCTGTCACTACGGGTAAAATCGAGATACCTGTCAAGTATTTGTCCAATGCATCTATGAAGACATTAGTTTGAAAAGGTGTGCTATATATCATTATAAAGCCCGTTTACTTACGCATGTGTTCGTGTGTAAGACTCTATTAGGACCGTCGGACTTGTAGAGAAAAATGAATAAATACAATCGAACAGGCTTTTTGGACCGTTGCTCAGAAATGATTAAAAACTTCAGCATATGGTAGTCCACAATCAACTTTTAAAGCGCAGAAAAATTAAAAACTAAATAACGAACGATTTCTGATCAGTTCCAGTCGTTATTTTCTCAAAATATATACGGCCATTTTCTTGCAGAAACCGTCCGTTGTCCTTTGTTTTACTCATCAAGTTTAAGATTTCAGGACGAAAGAAAATGTGACATACTTAATTTTGTATGGAGAATCAAATGAAAGTGGTTTGAATAAAAGGTGTTTACCATGTTATGCTCTATAGAGAAAATGCTCGAATCTGGCGCAAACCGTCTCTTGGGTTGTAACGCAGAACTAAGGTTTTTTAAAACATAACAGTGCATTGTCATATGAATTATTTTCTTCATGTATTTTCCTCATACTGTTGTAACATGGTCCTATATGGATGTTATTTTCATTTGGCAAAATATTTGTAAGTATTTCGAATGCTAATTTGGAATATTCTATAACTAATAAATTATTTCTGGTACTACAGCATGATCTTAAATTTCTCGAACTAGTTAGTTAGTTAGACCCATTACCTTTCGGTGTAGGATAAGACAACATAAAAGAAATACACAAAAAATACACAAATAAAAGAAGTGTTCATTCAGCTTCTGTCCTGTTCGTACACATTATGTAAATAAATAAAGGCTTTTCATCCGACTATCACTCTCCAAGTATACTTGGTTTAGATGATATTCTTCATTTCACCAGTATTACTAAACATAATTTGTTTTCACACCATTTCTTTCAAATTTTAATGTGGTTTTTCTTACACCAAGCTTTTGCACACGACTTCACATGTCCTGTGATACCTTGCGGCTTCCTCGAACTAGAGCTTGCTGATGTTCCACACAAAGTTTTAAAAAATCGAAAAAGTCGGATCTTGATTTTCGGAACGTAGCTGTAAGCTAGTCAAAATATTTTTGACAGTTCTGTTATATTAAGGGTATCCCCCCCTCTTTTTTGACCCTCTTGGAAACCGGCGAAGCCGATGGCAGATCGAGGTGAAATTTATACCAGAGATAGAACATTGAAAAAGAAAATCGATGCATTTTTGCCCAGAACTTTCTGACATGTTCTACTATGGGTTTTCTGGAAAACTCCAGTTTTCATCCAGTAACATTACGACTCTTTGAAAAAATGGTCCACTCGAGCTCAAAATTTTACCACAGATACTTCAGACCCTATATTAGGTTCGGTGCTTTCCTTCTCGAGGCATCCGAAAAATGCTGAAAGTCACCCAAAAAAACCTGACTTTTTCGATGTTGTTTAATTCTCCTATCGAAACATCCACTTTCACCTAGATAAAATGATTTGCACTCGTAGTAAATACCGTAAATAGATCTTTTTACAATCAATATGATTTTTGGTATCACTCTCCGACTGATTTCTTGCTACTAGTCTGATTTTATCCAGAATATCCCCTATACTTCTTGAGTGTTTTGTAAATGTTCGAACATTTTCTTTTTTCCAACTTTGTTTCAGCTTTTCTGTCATGCCTTCAAGTGTGGTACGACTACAATAGAAGTATATGTGGATCTATCTTCGTTCTCTCGTTTTCATTCATCATCATTATTTATTGAGTTATGTTTTGTTTAGTTGTTTCATTATGATCTGACCTAAAATCTAGAACCCTTTCGCTGCTGTTGGTTTTCGGTGCCGCATTGTTATAGAGAACCCTGCCGGATTTCAAAATGTGAAAGTGTTAAAAAAGCTGAATAGCAGGTTCGATAGAGAATTTTATTGAGCATCTAACCACATATAATTTTCAGTTTGAAACTATGATCGTCTCTCAAAACATCATCTTTTAAAAGACAATTTATTTTTTCTAATCAGAGGCGAAAAAGTCGTAATTCTGCTCGTAATTCTCGACTTTATCAATCAGAACTCAACTTCTATGTAATGAAAATAACATATTGGAATTAGGATTAAAAATGAATCTAGTGATGTGCATTTCGAAACTTTTAGTTCATTTTCATGTTTTGGCGAAACTTTTGATGATTTTTCAACGTGAAAATTCGAAAAAAATTGAAATACTCGCAAAGGATAGAGATACACATCACTAGATTCGTTTTTAATCCTGATTCCGAATATGTTATTTTCATTACATAGAAGTTGAGTTCTGATTGATAAAATCGAGAATTACGAGCAAAATTACGACTTTTTCGCCTCTGATTTATTTTCTCAGCAAGGAAAACACATTTCGAAAAAAGCGATGCATACTTTTAAAGCCGGAGTTAAGGCGCATCGAATAACGTGTGAAACTTGGTTCCATCACTTCACAGAAAAAACTAGATAGGTTTGTAAAATGACTCACGCTTATGTGACAACGGTCCATTCGAACGTCCGCGATGCATTAAATAATTATTTATTTAATTATTATTTAATTACTAATTATTAAATAATTACTACCTGCTACTATCCATTTAAAAATAAAATGTACTTCTTTATTTCCTAAAGTACTGTTGATAGGAATGAAAACTGCCAAAATCAATACATTTTCGTGAAACTAGGTCTTGTTTTCACTGGACCGTTTTTATGGTTCTGCAAAAACAAACGGTTCTGGAAGATTCAGCCTCACTACTTTAAATCTAGGTCACCCTCATTTTGAGCATAACCTATTTTTCCAAGATCTCCTAAAAGACTTGGTTTACACCGCCTAGGCCGGAAATGTTGCTTCTGTTTCTTGTCAACTATAACCATCATTTGAAGCAAAATACTGAATACCAATACACACCTAAAATATCGTTTACTAGCCATTAATGAAATGAACGAAAATGTCATGCTCGATTTGTTTGATACATGCCTGCATTCTCCATTATACGAACCATGGATGCAGATGTGAAAATTCGTGTACGTGTCATCACGATGCGTAAGTTTGAAGAGTTACAGAGGGAATGGTATATCTATTGTACCATTCATTTTCTACACTGTAAAAAATAGTCGTAGATTAATAAACTATCAAAAGGGTTTATTGAGACCGTTTTAAAAGGTTTATTGGTCTCAATAAACCCTTTTGATAGTTTATTAATCTTTCGACTATTTTTTACAGTGTACATATAAAACAAGGATAACATTTTTTCCCCTGAAGCCTTTATTTCATCAGATCGTTTAGAAAAAGTTTCTAATGCGACATTCGCCTGTTGCAAGTTTGATTTGCGTCCAGTTGATTTCTGGAGAGAAATGTTTGAATTAAATACTTATTAGAACAAAGATTGCACAGAATTGACGCATCTGTTCATATTGTCAACTTCATTTCCTTCTAAACGCTTTTTTACTGTTTCAATATTTTCCTTATAGATTTCAAGCCGTTCTTGGCTTATTGGCGTTGTTTTAAGTAAAAATTCAAGAGCTTTTTCATAATTTTCTAATGCGTTTGAATGATCACCCATTTCTGTATAACAATCACCCAAATCTCTAAAAATAACAGTTATTTCAGGATCGGCTAACGGTTGATTTTCAATATACATCTTCAAAGATTTTTTAAAATTTTTAATAGCTTGTTCAAAGTTCAAGTCTTGCATATAAGCTGTAGCTAAATTCAAATATGTAACTGCTAATGAGAGATCATTTTCATTTAAAACAGACAATTCAATCTGAAGAATTTTCTCTATATATTCAATAGTCATTTTATAATTTTCCAAATTATAATAACCAGTTGCAATATTATTACACGTTGCTGTTACTTTTTCAATATTCGTTTCTAAATGATTCAATCTTAATTTAACACCTAATTCTGAATTTTCTATTGCTTTTAAATAATTTTCAGTGATAAGATATATTTCACCAAGTGAATCGTATACATCTGCTAGATCAGAATAATTAATATGTTCAGTACCTGTTAGAATAACACTTGCTAATTCGTAATTTTTGATTGACATTTCAAAATCATTTAATTCATAATATATTTTTCCAATCGTACAATATGTTTCGATTAAACTGCGGTCATCCCGTGGAAAGGAAGACAATTGAATTTGTAATATTTTTTGATAAATATCTAAAGTTTTTTGATAATTTTCAATATTCATATTTTCGGTCGCTTCCAAAGTCGAGATAATGTTTTTGTATGCAGTAACAATATCATTATGATTCCATGAAAGCAATTCTGACTTAATATTTAAACTTTTTTCGAAATATTTTAAAGCTAATTGATGTTCATTACGGAGAGAATAAATAGCACCGATGTTGTTGTATGTCGACGCTGTATCAAGGAGATTTTCTGGTAATAGGTTTAAGGATTTTTCATAACAATTTAATGCGTCTTCATATTGAACTTGATTCCAATAAGTTTTTCCAATTCCATGGTAAATCTGACCGGCCAACAGATCATTACTAACAGGAACAGAACTCAATGCTTTAGAAATGGCGCTTAATGACATATCATAATTTTCTGTGGATCGATAAACTTCGGCTAAGCTACTATAGACTGTTGTTAGATCTAGAACTGTTGATGACGGTGTGTAAACTTCAATAGCTTTTTCAAAAAACAGTATAGCATCTGAAAAATGTTTCAGTTTATATTGCACTGTACCAATATTATAGTACGATATACAAATATCATCCGGAAAGTTTTTTAAACGTATTTCAAGTGAATTATAATAGTGTTTGAATGCTTCTTCATAATTATGTTGTTCATAAAGAATCTGCCCAATGGCATCATAAGTAAATGTTAGTTCATGCTGATTAAATGGTTTCGCTGTTTGCCCGTATTCTAATGCTTTCAAATAAGCTTCTAAAGCTTTTATAATTTCACCTTTGGCTTTCAGAATACGTCCAATTCGATGATAGTCTGATGCAATACTCGAATGATTAAGTTCAAATACTTTTGAATGTATCTCATATGCTTTTTCATAAGCGGCTAATGATTCATTGTAATTAGATCGTTTTTCATAGATAGCTCCGACACCAATGTACATTTCTGCTAATGTAGGATCTATTGCCGAAAGTACTTTGGTGCCAATGTCCAATGCCATTTGATAGTATTTCAAAGCTTTCTCATCGTCTTGTTGTTTGTGAAATATCTGAGCCATATAATACAGTCTTTGAGCTATTTGAGGATGTTCACTTTTCAATGAATTATGTTGAATTTTCTCAGCGTTTTGATAATGAGCTAACGCTTTTTTATAATTTCCTTTCTGCAGATATACATTTCCTATATGAATATGAACGTCAGCAATCAATGGATGATCGAGGTTTTTTAAATGTTTTACTGCTATATCGTACGCCAGATGAAAATTTCTTAAAGCATCATCAAATTTATCTTGAGCATAGTAAGCTACGCCAAAACTATCATAGATGTCTAAGAGTCCAACATAATCCAATCTTGATGAAGTTCTATGCCATTCGAGTGCCTTTTCAAAATGCTCCATAGCTTCATTAAATTTCCTTTGAATAATTAAAACGACACCAATATGTCGATGTATTTGTGTAAAATTAATATAATTGTTTGTACTAGTTTTTATTTCACTCTCAATTGCTTTTTCAAAGTATAATATTGCTTTGTCATAATTACATTGACGTTTTAATATTAAACCAGTATAAAAATGTGTGCGGGAAACATCGGATCGAACGTCTAATGCTTTTCGACAACATTCTAAAGTTTCGTCCAATTTTCCTACATCTAACAAGTTCATACAAATATTATTATATGTTTCTGCCAAGTCAGCATGATCAGGTGGGAGAGATTTTAAGCGAATTTCAAGTGCTTTTTTCAAATTGTTCATAGACTGATCATATTGTCTCATTATTCGATATAACTCAGCCATGTTCTCATAAATTGTAGCTAAACTCGGATGATTTACCGGTAATGCGATCAGAAATATATCGAGTGCTTTTTTATAATTTATTAATGCTAATGAATAATCCTGTTTCGATACATTGAGCAAAGCCATATTATTGTATGTTGTTACAATATCTGGATGAGCATTAGATAGCGATTTTAATTGAATTTCAAGAGCTTTTTCATGAGCTTTCAATGATTCATCTTGATTGCCGAGAAGATTATTAATATATGCTATGTTATTATAAATAACGGCTAGTGTTGGGTGTAGACTGGGTAGAGTCTGTTGTTTAATGGCTAACGCTTTGTTGTAATATTTCAACGATGATTTATAATCACCTTTATGTCTGTACGTTAATCGAATATTGTTTTAAGTTTCAGCTATATCTTTGTCAAACTTTTTTGATGCAGATAATAGGCGAATTTCTTCAATCTTTTTAAAGTTAATTAGCGCAGCATCATAATTTCCTCTATCATTATCAAGTAAACCTAGACTGTTATAAGTAGAAACAACATTTGATAAATCTTGGTCGTAAAATAAGGCTTTCTTAAATAATTTTTCTGCTTCACGAAATGTTCCTTCTCCACGATGCTTTATATCGCCCATAAGATGATAAAGTTTTCCTCGATCTACATCGTCTAACGGAAGTTGTTCATCTAAAATTGTACAATAATGTTGGGCTCTGTCATATTCTGCAGTATCAAATAAAACTCGTCCTAGATCTAGTAATGATGGTTTATCACCAATTTCTTTTTTCAAATGTTCTGTCAATTGTTCAATATCTTGATTTTCTCGTTTATCCATAACTAATTGAACTAACCAAATAGTGTCTGTTTGTGGTAGAACGTCTTTAATACGAAATATACTACCAATTGTAAAAAGAACTTCATTTTCAGTTTTAAAATAACTCACAGTTTTAATGTTAGCAAATGGTGATACACTTGTACTAATTTCAATTTCAAAGATAACAGACTCTAACGTTGGACGATCTTCACCGTCACCAGAATACATTAAAGCAACTTCAGATGATGTTGAAGCTGATAAAAATGTATTCATGGAAAGATAACCGTTTATATTTTCTTTTAATTTATTGAGTTCGTCAAATGGTAGTCTTTGACCACGATAAAATGTTTCATTTGACGATAACGTTTGAGTTTGAACAGAATGCATTTCAACCAATTGTCGATGTAAGTCAGCAATAAATGATCGAAATTTGTAAATGATATCAAAGTTTTCGGTACGTAATGCTTTATTCAAAAGACGAAAAAGAAAACTATCACGTGTATACCACCAAACTGCTTGATTAGCTGAATACGTCGTTTCAAACTCAACAATTTTTTTATTTTCAGCATCATTATGTCGATATTGTACTTGACATATTTGTAATAATTCACGTTTTTCACTCTTCGAATACTCCATATGTGTTAAGATTTCGATTAGCAGTTGAAACCACATAAACGTTGCACCTTCACTCGTTAAATCGCGAATTGATTTTTGTATTATATTTGAACGTCCTAATACACTTATTGGAAGTAAATTATTTAAACAAAACGTAACATCCGATGTTAGTTTTTTAAACAGTGAGTCTTTCTCAATGAAGATGCCACGTATTTTTGAGTATAGTTTTATCCATTGTTCATGTCTAGCTTTATCAGCACAAAAGACATAAATTGATGAAATTTTCGGTAAAAAATGAATTTTTGGTATTATCAATTCACCATCGATGCCAGATACAATAAAAAATAATTTTTCATCTTGAACATATGACTGTATATAATCTACACAAGCATCAATATTATCGAAAGTTAGTAGATAATTAATTATATGACGTAAACGTAACTGTGTATCAAAACAATCCAATGATTCATTCATTTGAGAATCGAGCCAAATAATTGTTATATCTTCAAGGTTTTCATATCTGTTCATATCGGTTACGGACGAAAAATACGATTCACGAATACGCGTAATCGGTTGCTTCTTCGCTTCGATATCCATGAGCGTTTTAAAAAAGATTAAAAGAATAAAATCTTGCTATTCTGCAAAAAGAAATGGGAAAAAGCGTATGGTAGATAGCTGCATGTCGTTACAGAAATCTTTCAGTTTTGCAACAGTTACTGCTAATTAGCTTATTGTAAGCAAAAGCATTGAAACCGAGTTAGGTGCACGAATGATATTTGTAAAAGGTGAGAACACCGTCTGACATCCAAAAGTCTCCGGAATAAAAATGTAAAACAGTCAGTCGATAGAGCTCGTCGAGTTGAGTATTCTAACACCGACTAACACTCAAAAGAATCATTAAGGGTAGCTCCCCACCCCCTTCTTTTTTGTAAAATTTCTGATGTTAAGCTGAGCATAGTCTAATGTAGAGGATAGTATGGGCTACAAAATAAGACCACTCCCAGTACTCTACGACCTTTTTTCAAAAAGTCATGGATTTCTGAAGTTTTTCCTTCGAAACCTAAAAAACTCAATTTTTTAGTTTCATAAACTTTTCTTTCATTTTCTGTACATGCAAAACTTTTCTTACACATAGTCTGACAGAAGAAAGTCTTTTTATTCACAATGAGACGTTTACAGAATTTTCCGATGACTTTTCGCGGAGATATAAGCATCGCGACAAATGCTCTGAAAAATGTGACTTATGTACAAAATGCGTTTTTCCTCGAAAACTATTTTTTTGCTACCAGGCTTCATTGTGCCACATTACGACCCCCTTAAATTTCATCCGCTCGAGGTCAAAATTTGACCAGAAGTGCTCAAGACACTATTGCAGAGGTAATTTTTTGGAATTTTATTTTAAACTTTTCTTTACTGACTTATAGGGTTTCTACATTGATCCTGACTTTTATGACACTGCAACGTGTACTGAAGCACTAAACCTTTGGTCCAGTCATGTAGCAAATTGTGTAGATAATCGTGTGCCCTGGAAAGAAATAAAACCTAAGCCTATACTATTCAAGCAAAGCCGAAGTTATTACCACGCAGCTCGAAAGCGCAACCGAGCATTCCAAAAGTATAAGTATAGGGATACTACGCAAGCGAAAGAAAATTTTCAAAGGTGGAGGAAAGACGCAAAGAAAGAGTTAACCAAAGATAAACGAGCATTTTTTAGCCGTTTAGCAAAATCCTTTACCTCTCCATCAGCATTTTGGACAGCTATAAACCGAGTAAGACAAGGTA